TATAATGTGAGGCCAAGCGCGACCAGCGTCCGTCGGCGTGGCCCGACGGCAATGGGCGCAAAATGCGACATGCTGCATTTCAAGCCGATGCATTACCCAGACCACAGTGCGTCTGCCTCTTTTCGTGAAGGAGGGACGCCGGACGCGCGTAAACACGCATGCGTCCAAGAAACGCAGTGCAGCGCGCGCATGCGAGTATATGGCAGGACCGGCGCTTGGCGTGGCAACACGCACGTGTCGCGACGAAACGAATGCCGACGAGCACGCGCACAGCGTCACGTGGAAATGTATTGGCGCCTTGACTGTGGCTTGTAGTCATGTTCTCACATGCCACACACCTCATAATTATTATGTTTGCACCAGTCTCATACCTTCGTCATTCATTGACGTGACGTAATAACAAATTTGGCTTATGTGAAGCTAGCCAAACAGCCACGAGTGGATCATGAGTGTGGCATGTAGTCATGTTGTTACATGACACGCATGTTGGGATTGCCTTCTTTGGATGTGTCATTTAACGATATCGTCCCTTCGCGTACCGTAAAACCGAATTTGGTATATGTGAAGCTAGCGAAACGGCCTCGAGCGCATCATGAGGGCAGCATGTAGTCATTTTACATGACACGAATCTCACGTTTATCATGTTTGCACCAGTCTCAAACCTTCGTCATACATTCACGCGCCGTAATACCAAATTTCGTATAATTGAAGCTAGCGAAACGGCCCCCAGCGCAATATGAGCGTGGCATGTAGCCATGTTGTTACATGACACGCATCTCATGATTAATGTTTGCACCACTCACATATCTTCGTCACTCATTCACGTACCGTAATACCAAATTTGGTATAAGTGACCCTAGGGAAACAGCCATGAGAGCATCATGAGTGTGGCATGTAGTCATGTTGTTACATGACACGCATGTTGTGATTGCCTTCTTTGGATGTGTCATTTAATGATATCGTCCCTTCGCGTACCGTAAAACCGAATTTGGTATATGTGAAGCTAGCGAAACGGCCTCGAGCGCATCATGAGGGCAGCATGTAGTCATTTTTACATGACACGAATCTCACGTTTATCATGTTTGCACTAGTCTCAAACCTTCGTCATACATTCACGCGCCGTAATACCAAATTTCGTATAATTGAAGCTAGCGAAACGGCCCCCAGCGCAATATGAGCGTGGCATGTAGCCATGTTGTTACATGACACGCATCTCATGAATAATGTTTGCACCACTCACATATCTTCGTCATTCATTCTCGTACCGTAATACCAAATTTGGTATAAGTGACCCTAGGGAAACATCCATGAGAGCATCATGAGTGTGGCATGTAGTCATGTTGTTACATGACACGCATGTTGTGATTGCCTTCTTTGGATGTGTCATTTAACGATATCGACCCTTCGCGTACCGTAAAACCGAATTTGGTATATGTGAAGCTAGCAAAACGGCCTCGAGCGCATCATGAGGGCAGCATGTAGTCATTTTTACATGACACGAATCTCACGTTTATCATGTTTGCACCAGTCTCAAACCTTCGTCATACATTCACGCGGCGTAATACCAAATTTCGTATAATTGAAGCTAGCGAAACGGCCCCCAGCGCAATATGAGCGTAGCATGTAGCCATGTTGTTACATGACACGCATCTCATGATTAATGTTTGCACCACTCACATATCTTCGTCATTCATTCACGTACCGTAATACCAAATTTGGTATAAGTGACCCTAGTGAAACAGCCATGAGAGCATCATGAGTGTGGCATGTAGTCATGTTGTTACATGACACGCATGTTGTGATTGCCTTCTTTGGATGTGTCATTTAACGATATCGTCCCTTCGCGTACCGTAAAAACGAATTTGGTATATGTGAAGCTAGCGAAACGGCCTCGAGCGCATCATGAGGGCAGCGTGTAGTCATTTTTACATGACACGAATCTCACGTTCATCATGTTTGCACCAGTCTCAAACCTTCGTCATACATTCACGCGCCGTAATACCAAATTTCTTATAATTGAAGCTAGCGAAACGGCCCCCAGCGCAATATGAGCGTGGCATGTAGCCATGTTGTTACATGACACGCATCTCATGATTAATGTTTGCACCACTCACATATCTTCGTCATTCATTCACGTACCGTAATACCAAATTTGGTAAAAGTGACCCTAGGGAAACAGCCATGAGAGCATCATGAGCATGGCATGAAGTCATGTTACACAAGACTCGCATGTCATGATTTTTATGTTAGGGTCGGTCTCTTGTGTTCACCATGCAAATATGTCATACTATACCAGTTTGCATGATGTTATGTGAACGAAACCACCGCAAGAGCAGCAGGACCATGAAATGTAAATTTTGTCATTCATGACATACATATCAAGATTTTCCTCGTATGACTAGTCCAATACGTTCTACATACAACCATGTTATGCCATACCAAGTTTGGTATCGATGCTATTATCGAAACGTACAGGAGAGCTAAATGTCGTAGGTGGCTAGATAGATAAATACATAGATAGATAGATAGATAGATAGATAGATAGATAGATAGATAGATAGATAGATAGATAGATAGATAGATAGATAGATAGATAGATCCTTTCGCGAACAAGGTTGTCGTGTCAATGCAACGCTGTATTCGAAACCGCCAAGAAGGTGGTGCGTGCGAAAGGGGTGCACAAAGAAAATACTAGTATACTTTCAACTAATAGCGGAACTATATTGCGATCATAAGTGTTTAGTACACGTGCGTGTTTTCAGTTCTTTGCCAGCATGTTGGCAGTCTGTGTATTCTTGCGAAGAAATCATGTCATCAACTCTCACTTAACGACCCATTGCTTGTGCCGATTGATTGAAAGGCTACTAAATAGACAACGTCATTGTAGTGCAAAGAGTTTATTATCCAATCAGATTCTGAATACTTGAGTGAAGTCTCCAACATTGGTTCATCACCATTCCGAAGAACGGCTGCTGCGGAAGGGCATAAAAGAGCGACATTTCTGCAAAGAAAATACACGTGATTGTGAGAAATGCAAGAAATCACGAGGGCACTGTGAACATTTAAAAGAATGGAAATAAAAGGGGAACTTACACTTCTTCTTGCGCAGAAGGGTGGCGTAACTCAGAGGAGAGCCAAGACCATAGCCGTAGTTCAGGCCGTAGCCGAGCAGACCATGGCCATAACCATAGTGACCAGCACCATAGCCGAGGGAGCCTACACCATAGCCGTAATAGAGAGGGGCAGAGTGGGCCACACCGTAGGTAGCGACGGCTGGGGCAGCGTGGGCAACACTGTAGGTAGCGACAGCTGGAGCAGCGTGGACAGCAGCGACAGCTGGGGCGGCATGGACGGCAGCGACGGCAGGCGCAGCGTGAACAGTAGTGACAGCAGGAGCAGCGTGGACAGCAGTCACCGCTGGGGCAGCGGCGTAGGTGGCGACAGCTGGGGCAGCAGCAACAACTGGAGCGGACTGCTGGACAACCCTGGTTACAGCTGGAGCGGCAGCGTAGGTGACAGCTGGGGCCGTGGCATAAGTGGCGACAGCTGGGGCAGCGTGGACAGCAGTCACGGCTGGAGCAGCTTGCACAGCAGCCACGGCTGGGGCGGCGTGAACAGAGGTAACAGCTGGGGCGGCGTGCACAGTGGTCACAGCTGGGGCAGTGTGGTAGGAGGAGACGGTATGGGCGACGGCTGGGGAAGCGACAGCATAGCTGGCGGCTGGCGCGTAACCATATCCGTAGCCGACACCGTAGCCGGTGAGGCCGGAGTATCCAACGCCATGGGCAAGGCCGTAGTGGGAGAGACCAAGACCGCCGTAACCGAGACCGGCGTAACCCAGGTTGCCGTAGCCAAGGCCATAGCCGAGGTTACTGGCGAGAGTGTAACCCCCAGCAAGGTGGCCGACGTGACCAGCAAGGGCGCTGGTGGCCAGGGCGAGGACGATGCAGGCGCGCAGCTAAATGTGAGAAAAAGGGCTTCGTGATAAGAAAACAGGCTAGTCTATGTAACTGTTCATCAGCACTACATGCTGGTTTGGATATTGAGATTTTAAGATTGGTGCTCAGATATACTAGTTGTACCATATGTCACCTGTCGATTTGAAGAACACTTAAAAGGGCACCAGTCAACAGACTACGAAACAAGTAAAAGCACTGATCATGACTTGTTTGCTTGTGTTGAGGAATAAACCAACTGGATGAAAGCAATGTTTCACTGCATGAGATTTCTAGTCACCCTGGTCTCTTTTGATATGTAACGAAGAAATAGTTAGCCTAAGTCACCTGCAAGAATCTGAACATCTGAAAAACAAAATTTGTTGTTCTGTCAAGACTAGTCGTTTTTGTCTGTGTCATTTTGAGATTCCAAGCTAAGTTGCTTGGAATACAATAAGTGGTCCAAGCAAAAGCACTTATGACAAATTTTATGTACGCCTCAAACGTAATGTGGCTGGTGTAAACATGAATTACGCATTTTTGCTTTCATTTGTCAAGTGTAATTCGGTCAGCACTCATTCTATTGCTTGATAGCTAAGACAAAAAAATTTCAATGCTTTCTCACCCAAACACGTTATAGTAAATATGCAGGGTTTTGAACAACGTACTAGCAAATATTGTTTTCGCGAGCAGTCCATTTGAAGTATGAAATGATTGATATTAAGTAATTTTACGTCCTAAAAGAATGTTATGGTTATGAGAGACATTGCTGTAGAGGGTTCCAAAACTTTGGCCAATTCGAGTTCTTTACCGCCCACTGGCTTCGCTGACTACATGGGCCTCTATAATTCAGCCTCTATCGATATGCGATCGCCACAGCCGGGGTCGAACTCGCGACTTTCGGTTCTGCAGCCGACCACCATAACCACTGCTCCACCACGATGGACGAGGTATGAAACCACAGCAAGGAGTTAACTAGCGACTTACCATGGCGGTTTTCCTGGTCTGTTGGAGGAGCAGATGCTTCTGATCTAGGTCGGTGGCGAATGGCTTTATATACCTTGTCTTTGGCTTGAAGAAGACAGTCTTAGCAACCATCAGAAAAATACCAATGCTATTTTCGTTTTTTCGTTAGCTTTCCCCAACCGTACGTGCACTCCGTCAGCATACCTCACATAAGTTATTTCTTTAACTCTATATATTATGATGAAACCGTGTTTTTTTGCTAATGTTTGATTGTGCTGTTGAGCTGCCTTATCAGACGCCATGAATTCAAGGGAAACTTGGGAAATTATAAAACATTCAGTATTCAGCTTTGAACGCCAAGGCTAACACCATAATTAGCAGTGAAATTGAAACGTGGCGACACGTTCTGACGTTCAGCAAAACCAGTTACCTCTCAAAACTGCGGTGAAACAAACACGTTTGACGTTCACATTTCTTTTGTTTCACGAACTTAGACTAGGCCGTGGAGAAACTAGTATTCCAACCTGTTTTCGAAGTGAATTTATAGGCTCTTGCGAGAAGTACAGATGGGTTGTGCGAAGTTATCTTTGTTACTTTTCGCAAGAATGAACAGGGTGTCATGCAGTATGTGAGACACTAGTGCTATGAAATGTATTAAAATGATACTTTGGAAAGAATGAATTGAGCACGATAAACGAAGGCGTCGCCCAAAACAAAGTTCGATCCTCGGAATTTAACTTCGATGTATTTGAAGCAGGAATGTCTGCACACAACAAAACAGAGTTTATAATGATGTCATACATCTCACAAAATTACCTTAAACAGGGACAATCATCTTAGTTGAATTGTCAGGTATACCTGTCACAATAAATTTCCAGAGGTATCCAATTTCACTGCTTCGAAAGAAAATGGAAGGCAAGTTGATACAAGAAACTTAGCGTGGTATGTGTAAATCTCCGCTTATCTTCGTGGGTGCACTTTTGATTTCAGGACTATATGACCACCTACATGCATACCCACGTTTACATTAGTCACACTAGTCAGCCAAAACGCTAGGGTGCATCAATGGAAAGAAATGCACCGGAAAGAAAAGGATGTTAATCAAGTAGCACGAGAACTGCAACCCTACACCTACGAAGGTATAAGGGGAGGACACATGTAGGAAAACGATAAATGAAATAGAGGACAACTAATACATTCACGTGCATAGCAGCATCCATCGGACATGCCCGAATGGTTTCAAAGTGAGAACTGGCACACAGCACTGTTGGACTTTCAATGTGTAAGATGACGTTAAGGAAGGCTTGGAATGACTGGTTCAAAAATATCGAAGTCTTCTATCGCGATTTGTGTTGGTTGGGTTGTCATTCAGGCTAGGAGAGTGCGCATTGTGCTTAATCAATAAACGCAACACCGATATCAAACATAGACACTTTATCGGTTTTGCTATTTTGGTTCGCAATTTGGTCTTATCGTATGTGCCACGACACTGTATCACCTGTCGGCGTATATTTCACAGCTTTCCGAATGAACTTTCATTTGGTAGTAATCGCTTGTCCCTGTCTTTTCTGTCCGCGTGTACGTTGTGCACTCTAGTTAAAACAATCATGCATCACAAATTCACCCGATCAACCATATTGAGTAATCACACTTCGGTATGTGTTGCCGTGATGGTGTACAATATGGAAATGCGTGTGTACAGTATGTAAATTGTGTTAATCGTCATATGTGTTGCGTTGAGTTTTGAATTCTGTGTTGCCTTCATTATTCATGCTTTGTAGCCCGTAAAAAGTTGAGGCAGTGATTCTTCGATGGTATTTGAAGTTGACAAAAACGATGTCTATGCACATTTTCTGTATGTTTAGGTATTTGTAGAGGGTGATTTTTCTAGGTACATTAAGCATGCGCGAATGGTACAAGGCCGGACCTATACGAAGGCTTACTTATCAGTTTTTGCTTGATGCGCTTTCTAATGGCAGCGTCGTTGAGTAAATTTTAGTAAAGAATCGCACTGTTTTCTGAACGTCAGTTGTTACATAGAACGTTGACCCCTTGACCTTGTGCTTCTGGACTGCCCATAGCCATGCTTTTAACACCTGATGCTCATGAACGGTAGCCGCGGAACGATTATTCGCTTCTTCCCGAGCTTTCGCATCTTCGGTGGCTTGCTGTTGGCGTATACGTTAAGCCGAAGCATGCCACCCTCTCGCGCCCGATGTTGCAGCTTGTTGTCTGCGTTACAGCTTGGCCGCTGCTTCCCGAACTCTTGCCTCCGGGTGAGCTCGTTTTCTGCGCCGACTCTGCATTACGCGGTTGGAGACCACATCACGTTCGCTTCAATGGCAGAAAGAGAATGTGTAGACTGGAACACGCTTATCCTTCATCGTCATATGCCGCAGCAGAAACAAAATGCACGTAATGCCTTGCAAATCTGTTGCGGGTACATCGCTTCTCAGGAGAATCATAAATGGCATTGCGGCGTATAGTGGGTGATTTCCTACACATTCGTTTCGTAGCAAATAAACGAGTGTCTCACGAAATCCCCTTCTCTCGTTCATGAGGTTTGTATAGGAGGTGCACTTGTAGGCATTGCATTTTTTGAGACGTGTTACGTACAGGTGGTAACAGTAGGTGCATACATAAGACTGCAAACCTAATCAACCTCAAGTTACAAACTATTTCTTTTTTCAAGTTTGCTGAATGCAGTTTGCACTCATGAAGACTGTCAGCAATACCCGACGCAGACCGCACCTCTGACCTCAGTGTTTGAGAAGTTTCGTGATTTTGTGTATCATTTTGTTAAGATAGTGCGTGAAACGCGAACATTTGATTTTATTCTCGAACAAATGCAGCTACCAGCGATAACGTACAATTATCCCATGCCGCTTGTTTAAAATATAGACGCGCGTTGCAGTGGATAATATTATGAATGGGCGACTCTATAGTTGCCGATATGTGTGCATTCCATGCTGTACTTAGAGTTTTGTTACCGCGTTCAAAGTCAGCCAAATAAGCAGTTTATTTCTAAACACGCCGACTACTGCCTTCTACAACGTCACGACTTCGTGGCAATATCTGAATTGTCGTTTGAGAATATGAGTTTCACTTCTGTTATAAACTTGTTTAGTGAGCAAATGTTTTATATTTTGCTTTATTTGTGTGAGAGTAATTTGAGAAATATAAGTTTTTCCACTCCATATTTTTGTAGCGTTAGCTACACAGGCCTCGCTAAGCCAATTTCGCGTTGCACTGGTCTGCGCATGCGCAATGATACTCCGCCGCCGCCGCGCGCGGCCCGCCGCCGGTGTGCGCGTAATTCGATGCGCTCCGCAGACGATTAGTGGTGTCACGCACCGGAGCCGGCACCTCCCTTGCACTCGGCCGCAGCCGCGCGCGACGGACCACCGCCGGTGTGCACTTTACAAAGGAGTGCCGTCATAGCCTTGGTAGACATATGGACGCCGACGCGCGCGCATTCCCTGTGCAGTCGCCATCTGACACTGCGCCGGAGCCGCTTGATAGCGCCTCTCACTGGCATTTGCCACTGTGGTATAGCCATAGAGAAGGAGAGTGCAAATGCTGCTCAATGGTGCAGTAGAGCGGAGAAGCTTAACTTATCGGATCCCGAAGTAGTTGCCCGGCAAAATAAATATACAAGTGCCACATAATACGTATACCGTGTGTGTGTCATTAGAACAGCTGTAAGCATGATATCTGGAAAACCAAGAATAATCAGCTGAACCTTTGCTTACGCTACGTATATCCTGGCATAGCTGAGCTAAGCCACTGCCATTTTTTTCTTTAGTGAACCATGCAACTTCTGTATCTTACAAAAAGATCTTTGAGCCGTAAAGTAGCAACGTTCATTGTGTGCAAAGATGGGTAGGCATTTATTTCTCTTGTATGCTCTGTCAGAATTTGAAATATTTTTGTATCTTTTAATGATTGAGGGTGAGTTATAAGTAAGCACTTCTACTTTCATTCTTTCCTTTGTGTCTTGCCTTATTTCCTACAGTGTTTAATGGGATAAGGTCTGTAAAATAGTCATAGACGGGAA